GTGTGTGTGTGTGTGTGTGTGTGTGTGTGTGTGTTGGGGGGTGGTTATGTGAAGCACTTGGTGTTTTTTTTATTTGCAATCAAAGTGTTGTATATATAAAGTCTGATCGATACGTCAGTCTGACAGCCTTTGGTTTCCCTCAGTTCAATTCAATTTCCCTCAGTTCTTTACACAAAACAATATAAGAAGGAGAGAAAATAGAACTTCAGAAAATCCACTTGTGTAAATTTATCACAAAAGCCTGTGAGTAGTTAAAATACAGCATAAGCTTCACCAGAGGGAGAACAATCTCACAAGCCTTTACATAATAACAGCAGACCGAACGAGCTCGCTTCACATGGTGCGGCTGAATCCTGTGAATCTGCATTTAATTACATTGTTGGCTAAAGCCATAACACAAGGGATTGAGGCAATTACAGTGATATGTCAATGTCACAGACTGATGTGCGGCACAGCTACAGTTTCCAAAGCTTACTCCTAACACTGTAGACTCATAAAATCATTTTCCCTCGACCCTTATTTTATTCGTCTGCATCAAATAAAAGATTCCGCATAGCTGCAAAAATTCAAATTAAATCCATGTCCACTGCACTGTATGTTAATGACCAATCAAACCAGGCAGAGATGACTTTGTGTGTGTTTGACTGAGGGCTGACACAGGCCAACACTTGGACCTGAGTAGCTGCTCCCGCTCTGTGGGTGCAGATTAATTTTGTAGTTTTGCAAAATGAAAGTCAACAGCCATGTTAGATTTAAATGGGAGTGAAGTGGTGTGTCAAAGCTCCTGCCATCCACTCGTCTTATCAGAAATAAAAATAATTTCTATGCCGTACTGTATGAGTGCTTCCATTCAAGCACAAAACTTGAAGGCATCCTCCAGGTTTTTGACTTCTCAGTGCTACGGCCCACTCTTTTTAAGTGGTGGAGCTCTGTTTATGCAAAAGCATGTGAAAGATGCCACAAAGGTTTCACACATGGCCGCTTACATTAATCTACACGGATCTTCGATGTCGGTTTCACAGTGTCGACAAAGTCTGTTTGACACATTCTACAGGTTTGTTGTTGCCAATTCCGTGGGTGCTCCAGGCTCTTAAGCACCCACATGAATGCCAAGCACCCACATGTGCCAGTACGCAGTCTGGGCTAAATTGATTTGATATCAAACTTCATGGTTGGTGCTAGATTGGCTCAAATGGAGGGACTTCGCGTTATTCAGCTGTCCAGAGCACCCACTGGCAGTATCGTAAATCGCAGTCTATGTCTCACAATACATTGCAGCAACACCACATGTTCACAACAACATCCACCATTCATTTTTAGGAGACAGTTTATCATTCACACAATATTTCAGCAGAATACCTCTTTAGAAAACAGCACAAAGTGACTGTGACTATATTATAGTTCTGTTTTCCGTAGTTTCCATTTTTAATATTTAAATGTTAAACAAATAAGATAAATTATGTAATGTTTAAATAAATCGGCATTAGGCTATAAACTAGCGACTTCCCAGTCCTCAGTCTTGCTGCTAAGTTTGGATAACCAGAAATCTGTACTCTATGCCAATAAATAAAATGATTTCTCTTTTAAGGAAAAAGGTGAGGATGTGTATTTTCTAAACAAACATTGCATCATTTCTTTGAAAAAGACCCCATTTGGACTAGTACATCTTTTAATTACCACAGTGACAGTGTCCAAATTTAGCTCTTAGCTGTGTTTTCATGTTTGTATCAGAGTCAGCATCTCACAAATGTATCTTATGTATGCAGGATTATGCTTTTATATGCCATGCTTTGATCCTTATGTCTGTTTTTTCACATGACCTCTTTAAAACTATACAAACCATGTATAGGCCATGAAAGGCCAATTAGTTGTAGCTAACTTATCATATGGTAAGCTATGGTTAAAAGGCCATACGTTAGCTTGATGTTGGTTTTATTCTCAAGCGCTTTTAACTTTCAATTTTCAAGTTTGTGCCTCCACAACCAGAGGGTAGTCCAACATACTGGAGTGCTTTTTTGAATGTAAATGTAATGTACATATATCTCTATTAACTTGCTCACTGGTGCATCTAATAAACATGTTTTACTTTTTTTTTTATTCTTTAGCAGCTTGTGATTTGATGTTCAAATTGATAGATTGGATTTAGGGCTTGCTAAATGATCAGTTTCTCTGAGCATCGCAGCAGTTCAGCGGTTAGTACTTTCCAGACAGAAGCTGAGTTCAGTCACACTGTGTCTAATTCTTGCAACTTTTTCATTTAATTAAGCAAATTGAATGCCTCTTTATTTTCTACTAACAATCTCCTTCCCTGCTTCCACTGTGAAGTTTTACTTTTCTTTTCCACCAGCTCTTTTCCAGCTACTCCTTCACCAAGAGATAATTCTGCTTAATGACTGTCACCCTTCAAAACCAAGTCTCTGCAAATTACTTTTCTTTGTGAACTCTTGGTTTGAGTTGAACAAGAGTTGAGCTGCTTAAATGCACAATGATTAATTTCTGTTAAATTAAGTGGACATACATTTTGCTCACAACAGTTTTCAATCTTCTTAAAATGTATTTTCCAAGATAAGACGTGATTGAATGGCAGAAGCTCATTGCTTTTTGCTGTAACTGTCAACGAGACGAGAGATGAGTTGGATCTTGGCTGTTAACCAATTAACAGTTGGGATTTCTCCAAGTTGCAAAGTTAACGCAATGCAAAGACATGAAGAGAAATCAACAGCTGATTCAAGAAAAACAAAATATTTTAAAACATGTGAACACAATCACACCAATAACTGACTCAGAGCTTAAGCAACTGTGTCATGTGTTGGTTAGAAAAAGATGCTGCAGCAGCTGGGAATATCTTGTGTGATGTTCAGATGAAAGTACTGTATGCACTTGTCTATATTTATTAAGGTTGTACATAATTATTGCCTCTGATTTTTAAATTGAGTTTGTACTGTTGTATTTTTTTTACAATTATTTATACCCTGTTCTCATTTCTCAATAAAGATGTTAAAAAATAACAAGATCAATATTAACATCTAACTGCTCCATTACATAATTATTCAACAGACTGATTTATCTGGATCCCTTTACATAGAGACTTTTTGGCATCTCAGTTTCAAACACTAAAATACTGGTGGTGGAAAGTAGCCTTTAAAAGCTGCATAAAAACACACGTGAATGTAAATGTATTGTTAAACTTTTCGAATGTGGGCGTTGCAAAGTGATGCAGTGGTATTATAAAATCACATCTTTACTGAAGCGACTGCTCTGGATATTTAAGTAAGGAAAGTGCGCCACCATGTGGATATTACACTGCATACACTGCAGTCTTCAGTAAACAGTAAAATACAAAACAGTCACTTATATTAGGGTATCATTTCCCACAGAGTTCCAAAATGTCTGAAAATTATCTGAAAGTTATCATTGATTAACTTCACATCCAACTGCAACATTCTCCATTTATTTGGAACACTCCCTTGAAAAAAAACATTAGTGCAAATCATAAAAAGAAACTATCCAAAGATTGATAATGTGATTTTAAATTATTAATAAATATACATGACTCAATTTACACTTTGAAATGCTACAAGCACTTTTCACAGTTAAATAACAGTCTCCCAGACCCTTCAGTACATCTAGCACATTTCAGCTTGTCTGAATCAAAGACATATTACCAGTGAGGCTTGAAAAGGCAGAAATAGATGTTACCATTACACTTTCAAATACATTGTCATGTCTAAGTTTGCCGAAAACAATATAACGCAGTTCAATCATAATGAAATAATTACCCTGTATAGCGCTGAATCAGCAAATCAGTAGCTTATAAAAATTCAAATCAAACAAATACAATGCGTTACGCTCATTCTTAGAGATCAGTGACATTTCGTCACAAACAGCTGCATACAGGGTTTCGGCCCCATAACTGATCTGTTGTGATTTATACATGTTGGAATTCAGTATACATACTCAACACAATACACTGTTGACCACTCACAGATTACAGATATGTATGCAATGATGGAGAGCACGTGCGTTACAGATGATAGAGAGACCTGAAAAGACTGTACCTCTAACATGAAGATTTCTAATCATTGAACGGAGAAAGAAATGCACACAGGAATTTGTTGAAGTGCAAAATAAAGCCTAAAAAAACAAACTGAACTAAGTCTCTCAGAAGAAATGTGAAGCCAAAAGCTGGAATTAGTTGATGTTAGTCAGTGCCCATCAGAATGAAGCACTTCTCCTTGTAGAAGCAGCATTGACCCAAACTGTACTTAATATTATAGCACTCCTGTTTGGGACTGCAATGTCAATACATCAAACCTTTATCTCGCAAAAGCCTATGATCTTGAAAATCTAACAGTATTCACAGACTTCCATTATTTAAGGGATTCTTCATACGTGATCTGTATTTTCAGCAGCTCCCACACAGAATCGAAGGGAAAAATACACAAATAAATCTCTTAAAGTGGGGGTGACTCTTTTGGTTAGACCACCAAAATAACTTCCTGCATGTGGGAAACACTTAACTTTACCGAACTGTTTACTCTTCATCACTTTTATGCCACATTAAAGTCATACCATTTATATTTGATGGCACAGAAACAGCAATATTGTCAAATCCTTCATAGAAACACATGGCAACTGTGCTGACTGAATAACACATAATTGGGAAAAGGCTGCTGGAGTCAATCTACTAAATGTTGCATTCACACCAATTATGAAAACACTGACTTCGCCATAATAAGCAACAGTGCTGATACCCTACATGATATCTAGGTAGTTTGTGGCCAATGTACTACAGACCATATTACTAGATTCCATGATTCTGTCGTCTTAAATGTGTCAGTCATGTAATTACACTGGATATTGTCAATGAGACCAACAGAGCAACACTAGATTCATTGTTTAAGGCAACATAATCAACATAATCATCTTAAATTAAATGAATAAAGGTGAAGTACAAGCTCGGAGCATGCAGTAGGAGTTTCAACCAAAAGGCCACAGACAACAGACAAGGAAAAGTGCAAATGCATGCTGAAAATGATTGCCACTTACCACCCTCTCTAAATAACTCCCATTTGTGACATGTCGCAGGCAGATTAACTTCAAAGTGCAAATCCAAGCTGTTGACATTAAGTTCACAGAACGAAGGATAAACCTACAAAGCTTCAAGCTACTACAAACTCATTTAAATACTCAAATTAAACACATCCACTCACTGCAGTGTCCTCAGTCATAGTTTCATCCATTCTGAATCCAGTCCTTGTTATTGTACATTATAATGACATCTACTAGGTTTACACTGTGGTTAGCAGTTGCCTCCCTTTCATGTGACTGAAGATGTGTGAGGAGTTCCAGACAGCAGGGTCCTGAAAGTGACAAAACAAAGCAAAGTGTGTATTGATAATGATGCGGACAGCAGGTGAAATGATAAAATGATATAATAATGATGTAAAATGATCTCATTTGCAATCTAGTTTAAAGTAGGTACATTTACATGGTATTTCTCATTGATGTGCCAATACACATTACTGAGCAGCATTACTCAACAGTCAAGTTTTTATTGCTGATTTTAATATGCGCAAATTTCTAAAACTTTCAAAATGTAACAATTGAACACAGTTGTAGCCAATTATGTGTCCAAAACTCACCTACCTATGATTCTTTTACAAATAATTCCTGACAATCATACATTTGCTTTGTTCACAATATAATTCAAATGTAAATTTTATTAATTTTTGAGATCAATTTAAATATGCTTTAACTACCTTCGGATCCTCTGGTGAGCATGGGGTAGTCTTCAGGTCTTAACACTCTGCTCAGAGCTGCTGGTAACGTCTCCAGTTGCTTCCTCTCGGCTCTGGGCGGGAAGTAGCTCATCTTTCTGTGGTGCAGTCTGTTGCGGTTTCACTATGGTGATTTTAATAGGGATCCCTTTGACACCATGCTGCACTCTGCTGTACTGGCGCATCGAGGGATTGAAAGTGCGAACAATAGGAAGTTCATTCAGAGTGGGGGTCTCTTGTTTTGGCTGCATGCTCTCCTTTATGATTATTTTACTTCTTTTGTTTGAAAAGACAGTCTGCACTGGTAGGATGGCGGGCCTCTTGGCGAGACCAGAAGTCTGGAATCTAGTTTTATGCTGAGGCGAGGCTTGTTGTCGTTTCTCTTCGACGCGAGAAATCCCTCGGTGCAGGCGTTCGTTGTTTTCCTTTGTCACAGAGATTCCACCTTCTTTTCTTTTCTTCACCTCTTTGGGTTTCTTGGGGCACACAGCCATGTGTTTGGTTCTGCTGCGACGCATCGAGAACTCCCTGTTGCAGTGTGGGCAGACAAATATCTCGTGCTGCACTTCCACCTGTGCAGACGTTGCTTTATTTGAAGTAGAAACCGACTTGTTCCTCTGTGGCATCACCCTTTGGACCAACTTTTTCTTCCTTTTGTTCAGTAATTTGAATTTCATCTTTATTGCTGATTCTTGGTTAGGTTTGGACCTGTTTGACTGGCTGGCCCTGTTAGAAGCATTAAGTCCGTTGGTAGAATTAGTAGTCGACAGAACTCCATTTTGAGCTTTTGCAAAGTGTCTTAGAGGGATGGGATTCTTTTTGGGTGTGTATCGCCTTTTATCACTGGCATTTGCACAAGCGAGAATATGCTTGTGTAGCTCTGGCATGTTATCGAAGCTTTTTCCACACTTGGTACATCGAATAGCTGTAGTAAAGGTCTGTGGGATGTTGTGGGTGGTGAAGTTTGTTGCTGAAGCGACTGAGCCGGCAGGCGACCTATTGTGGTAAGGAAATGGAGGAGGCTTAAAGCTGGGATAGTGTTGGTTAATGCCCAAACGAACATCAGGCCCTTTGATTTTCCCTCCATCTGAGGCCATTATTTTTATGCTTGTAAACAACTCTTCAGCAGCCACATCTACTTCACTTTCCTCCTTTTTCACCAGTGTCTTGGGTTCCTCTGAAATGCGGGGCACTGAAAGCTCCACGCTGACCTTCGTCGAGTTGTTGTAGTTCTGAGGTCTTAGTTTTCCCTTTTCCTCTTCTGCGTACGTGCACTGCTGGCCAGGATGCAATTCCTCCTGATGCTGTTTCAGATTGCAGAGGTAGACAAATTCTTTTGTACACGCACTGCAAACGTATGTCTTTCCAACACCGTGGAGGCTTGATCGATGGTCGAGCAAAGCGGAGGGCTTTCCAAAGAGCAGCACGCAGAATTCACATTTGTAGGGCCATTCATCAGCATGGTCACCCACATGTTGGCCTAGTTCTTTCATTGAATGGAAAAGCTTATCACACACATTACAGATGAAATTCTTGGTGAAAGTCTGCTGTTGTGCATCATCCGGTGCGTCATATGAGGATTTGTCCTCTTCCACTTTCTCAGTTAGGGGTGACGTTTTCGATGGTGTTTCAGATGCGGAAAGAGTATCGTCAGCAGCTTCCTCTTCTTTTGTGGTGGCCGGCTCTGCATTAACATCAGATTCTGGGTTGGGACTCGATTCAGCCACAGGAGGGCAATCAGATACCACTGAGGTGGTGGTGGCCACAGCTACTGATTCTGCGATGGAGGACACAAGAGTAGTGGGGTCCACAGTTGGAGCATTGGGCACTGATACAATCTGTTGCTGTTCGATGTGATTAACAACCATCTGTGTAGGTACTGGAGCCTCAGAAGGGGTTTCCTGTAAGGTAATTGCGGCAGGGACTACACTCCCTGGGGTTTCCAGAGCTATTGTGCACTCTATCAACACGGTGTTACTGGTTATGTTGTAAGAGTTGATGAGGGAGTCATTTAAAGTAACAGTAGATGTGAATGGTACCTCCGACACAGGAGTGGATTCAACCAGAGGTGGATTAAGAGCAATCTGATCAGTGAGAAACACGTGGCCCTGTAGATTTAAAGTCGGGTCCAGGGATTGGGAGAGAGTGACAAGGTTTGCAGGATTTGTTGAAGCAAATGCAGCAGTTAAATCACACTCTGAAGGATTGAATGCATTTTCTGTGCAGATTACCAAAGGGTCAGGAGATATGTTTGGAGCTAACATCTGGATTGGTTGATTCGAAGGGTTTGTAATATGTGGTGTTGGGGCCAAAACTGTGATTAATGAAGAAGTAGAAGGGAGCATGGTGTGTGAGGCTGGGGAGGCAAATGCAATAGTGCACGGTGTGGCTGGTTGCAAGCCATCAGGGGTAAGGGAGGCGGTTGATGGAGTTAGAGAACTGGGGGGTAGGGCGAGTCCATAAACAAGACCTTCTGCAATAGGTTCAACCGGGGTCATTATATCTGACCCCGTGACTATGGCAAAGTCTGTGACTAAAGAATTTTCTAGATTCCCGAGGCTTAGATTTTGCTCTCCGATATTCATCAAGGGTTTCACCATCATGCATGAATTTAATGCTTCTTCTGTCAAAACTGCCTGTGAAACTAAATTTATTGTCAGTCCAGATTCGCAGAGCCTTTTCTGTAAACTTAAATCCAGCACAGCATCAGCTAACGCTAAATCTTCATTTCTTTTGACTGTATTGGAGAGATCCAGTGGTTGCTGGTTACAGGAATTGCCACCAGTCATGGGGGGCCAGTTCTCCGTTGAGACGGGTTTCACTGCTGGCTCCTCTGCAGGTGACGTAGCATCATCTTTCTCACTAGCTGTAAGATGCACAGGGGAGATCTGCTGGGTGTCCATCTGTCCTGTTCTTTCAGCAACAGTATTTACTGTGTCTGACACTGGCGTTTCCTCGTTGGACGTTGAGTTTTGCTGTTGAGAGCTTGTTGGAGATCCGGTCCGTCTTTTAAACCTTCCTGTTCCAATGGGAAGGACAGAGAGAGAGACAGGCGAACAAGGCTTCTGACCATCTGTGATCAGGGCAAGTGTCGGATTAAGGCCATCCTGCTTCTCCAGAATCTGCTTCAGCTTCGGGGACAGAAACACTGTTCTTTCTTTCTGCACAACTGTGGACTCTGTATTCATTGGAAGCAGATTCTCAATCAAAGATGACACAAGTGATGATGAGGAAGAGGACACCACCACCTCAGACTCCAGTTCAGTTTTAATTTGTGGTAAAAGAGGTGGTGTTGCAGTTCTTCTCTTAGCCGGTGGTTGACCAGGTATCTCTGTGCCTGTGACTGAATCTGTATTCAAAACCTGGCTGATTTGGGTGGGGTCCAGAATCAGAGCATCCAGTCCAACTAAAGCTGAGGAACCTGAATGAACCTCAGCTGCTTCACAGCTACTTACTGTACTTGTTGACACGATCTTTCCATCAATGTAGAAGCTGAGATTCTCTGAAATATTGCTAGAGACATCTAGCATGTACTGTGCATGTTGCCCGTCATTCTGTAGAACAGTTGCAGATGTTATATTTTCACCAAGCTGTGTTTTCTGTTCAGCTGTTTCACTGAAAATCCTCTCAAGATTTTCCTCCACAGGCAGCTGGGTTTTTTTTGTGTCTACACCAGCAAGTTGCAGGTGTACCCCCTGCTCGTCTGGCTGAGCAATGTGGTCTCCAGCTGTCAACAAGGAATTATAAGAGCTAGCGGGGGAGGATGTATAATGTTGCATTACAGAATCCAAAGGCTCCATATTCTCAGGCTGCAACTCTCCTTGATTTGTACTTACAGACATGTTGCTGTTATTGCTTACATGTACATGTGCCTCGCTGACAGCCAAAGCATGGACGTGCATGTGTCGTTCCAAGCCTTGTTTGCTGGTAAAATGTCTCTCACAGTGCTGACAGGGAAAAGAATGCCAAACTGTCTCAGTATCCTGATGGGGATGTTTGTGAAGATCTGGGTGTAGAGACTTGCTCACATCTGGTTCCATGTTAGTTTTAACTTGGTAATATCCTCCTCCCCTATGTCCTCATTGTCTCCAGATCAAAACAGTACGAGTGAGGGGAGTCCTCCATCTGCTGTGGAGGCTAGATCCAGTTTTCTGGTGTTTCACACAAGACTCCAGTAGATGTCACACCTGTTGAATAGATGAAAAAACATTGTTATTTAGCCCACATTTAATGGCAGAAGTGCAATTTAGATTTCATAAAATAAACTTAAAGCGTCAAAAACATCAGAAACATCTGTGCAGTCTAATCATTTAAACTTTACAATGCAAATCAATACATTAAAACGTATTCATCT